CTGCCCTGGGGATAAGACATGCAAAAAGATCTTGGAATTGTACTTGATTTCAAACTGGGATCAAACTAAAATAAGGCACCTGACTAGAAACCAGGAGACGTGAATTCTAGTCCCGCCTCAGGCATGAAAGCTGGCTGGGTGGCTTTGGGCCAGTCACTCTCTCTCTCTCTCTCAGCCCAACTCACCTCACAGGATGGTTGTTGTGGAGTAAATAGGAGGAATGAGTATTGTGTATATTTGCGGTCTTGAGTTATTTACAAAAATAATAACGGCGGGCTAAAAATAAACAAAATGAGCTCTGTGATAAGGCCACAATCCAGAAGGCTTACCTCACACCTCCCTTCTTGTTGTTTTAGGCTGGCCCTGAGTGAGGGCGATGGAGCTTGGTGTCCTGAAAGACCCGTCTATCCCAATGACGCAGAGTACCTGGAAGTAGACCTGCGCCGGCTGCATTTCCTGACCTTGGTGGGGACACAGGGCCGCCACGCAAGTGGTCACGGCAAGGAATTTGCTCGCTCCTATCGGCTCCATTACAAGCGGGATGGGCACCAATGGATGCCTTGGCGTGACCGGTGGGGAAATGAGGTAAGTAGGGAGCATTGTAGCTTCTCTGAGGTGGGATAACATGGAGACGGGTTGTATTGTGGAGACTGCATCTGTGTCTAATCCAGCGTTTCTCAACCTTGGCAACTTTTTAAGATGTGTGGACTTCAACTCCCAGAATCCCCCAGGCAGCATAGCCGGCTGGGGAATTCTGGGAGTTGCGGTCTAGACATCTTAAAGTTGCCAAGGTTGAGTAGAGTTGCTCTTCAACTTGAAACCATTTGTTTAGTGCAGCGGTTCTCAACCTATGGGCCGCGACCCCATTTGGGGTCGATCGACCATTTCACGGGGGTCGCCAAGCAAGGCTGTCCGCCATTTTTTTCCCCTTTTCCGGTGGGTGCCTTACCTCCCTTGGGCTGGAAAAGCTGGTGGTCGGCCTGCTCTGTCTCTGCCGCTTGCCAGCTATGCCTCGGCCGGCGCAGGGGGCGGAACCATGCATGCACGGCGCTCCCGGCAGGGAAAGTCCTCGACTTACAACCAGTTTAGTCCTCAACTTACGACCGGTTTAGTCCTCGACGTACGACTGGTTGGGGGTCACGGCATTAAAAAGGTTGAGAACCACTGGTTTAGTGAGAACGGCACTGAAAAAAGTGACTTATGACCGTTTTTCCCATTGATGATCGTCCAGCATCCTCATGGTCACATGATCAAAATTCAGCCGCTGGGCATCTGGTTCATATTTATGACGGGTGCAGTGTGTCCCGGGGTCACGTGATCACCTTTTGCGACCTCCTGACAAGAAAAGTCAGTGGGGAAGCCAGATTCACTTAATAACCACGTTACTAACTTAACAACTGCAGTGAATCATTTAACAACTGCAACAAAAAAGAACATAAATGGAGGTGGGGGGAACTCACATAACAAGTGTCTTGCTTAGCAATGGAAATTATGGGCTCAATTGTGGTTGTAAGTTGAGGACTACCTGTAACACTGCTCTTAATCAACAGATCAGGCAAAGTTGACTTCTTTGGCCCAATTCCTCCTTTCGCTCTTTTACTCCTTACTCTTCCTTTCCTCCTAGGTGATTTCAGGCAATGAAAACACAGATGACGTGGTGTTAAAGGATCTGGGCCCTCCCATCATTGCCCGCTATATCCGCTTCTACCCCCGTTCAGACCGGGTCATGAGTGTCTGCTTGCGAGTGGAACTCTACGGCTGTGTTTGGAAAGGTGGGTGATGGTACCTTAATGATAATAATAATAAAGTTGGAAGGGACCTTGGAGGTCATCTAGTCCAACCCCCTGCTCGAGCAGGAAACCCTATACCATTTCGGACAAATGGCTGTCCAGTCTCTTCTTAAAAACTTCCAGTGTTGGAGCATTCACCGCTTCTGGAGGCAGGTTGTTCTACTGATTAATTGTTCTCACCGTCAGGAAATTTCTCCTTAGTTCTAGATTGCTTCTCTCCTTGATTAGTTTCCATCCGTTGCTTCTTGTCCTGCCTTCAGGCGCTTTGGAGAATAGCTTGACTCCCTCTTCTTTGTGACAGCTTGTTATTTTAGCACTTTTTTTTCAGGCTGGATGCAAAGAGCGTGCCTGCCCCTGGCTTTTTAAAAATAGACGTTGCTGGGTTCACATCATTTACCACACTAGCCTGGCCCTCAATACATGCTGTGCTCAAATGAAATAAATTATATCATCAATTAGTCCCAAGTTCTCCCTAAGGAAGGATTCTCACACTGATAATGTGTGGCTAGCATCCGTTACGTAAATGAAATCCAGAGCGACTGAAAATGAGAAGAGGAGAGCCACAGTGTACAGATAGTCCTCGACTTAACAACCATTTGTTTAGCAGCTATTGAGAGTTACAGTGGCACTGAAAAAAGTGGCTTACATCCGGTCCTCGCACTTAACCACCATTGCAGCCTCCCCATGGCCATGTGCTTAATATTCAGACCCTTGGCAACTGACGTGGATTTTACAGTGGTTGCAGCATCCCAGGGTCATGGGATTTGCAAACCTCCTAGCCAGCTTTCGATAAGCTAAGTAAACTGGGGAAGGTGGATTCGCTTAGTGACCATATGATTGACTTAACTACAGTGATTGGCTTAAACAACCACGGCAATAAAGGTCATAAAATCAAGTGCAACTCGTGTAATAACCGCCTTATGGAAATGGAAATGCTGGTCCCAATCACGGTTGTAAGTCCAGGACTACCTGTGATCACATAATATTGCCTGTGCATAGGAACCATATAGGTAGTCCTCCACCTACGACCACAATTGAGCCCAAAATTTACGTTGCTAAGTGAAATAATCAAGGAGAGAAGCAACCTAGAACTAAGGAGAAACTTCCTGACAGTTAGAACAATTAACCAGTGGAACAACCTGCCTCCAGAAGCGGTGAATGCTCCAACACTGGAAGTTTTTAAAAAGAGACTGGACAGCCATTTGTCTGAAATGGTGTAGGGATTCCTTCCTGAGAAGGGGGTTGAACTAGGAGACCTCCAAGATCCCTTCCAACTTTATAATTATAAATTATAACATTTGTTAAGTGAATTTTGCCGCATTTTATCCTTGGCAGCTGGTTCATACTCATGACGGTTGCATTGTCCCAGGATCATGTGATCCACTTTTGCAACCTTTGGATAAGCAAAGTCAATAGGCAGGCCAGATTCACTTAATAACCCCGTTCCTAACTGAACAATTGCAGTGATTCACTTAACCACTGTGGCAAGAAAAGTCATAAAATGGGGGCAAAACTCACTTTAACTACTGTCACGGTTAGCAGCAGAAATTTTGGGCTCAATTGGGGTTGTAAGTTGAGGGCTGCCTGTATTCTGTTATCCTAAAATAGAAAGTCTGGCATATCTTGCAGGCCTGGTTCCGTGTGTGAACCCAAGTCTTTCATTTATACAAGGAGGGTCTACTGGTCAGAATGTTAAGCTAGGACTGGAGAGACTGGGAGTTCGTCTGGTGACTCGATTCAAACTTTTACATGGAGACGCTAGAATAAAATGAGAAGCAGGCACCATGAAGAAAAAGCACAATTCAGAGTGAAGGCAGGTGGTCCTCAATTTATGACTAGTCGTTTAGAGACCGTTCAAAGTTTATGATGGACTCCCTAGGGCAGGGGTAGGCAACCTTGGCTCTTTTATGACTCCTGGACTTCAACTCCCAGAATTCCTGAGCCAGCATGGCTCAGCTTGGAAACCTCTCCCTTTCCCCTCAGCATGGCTGGCTCAGGAATTCTGGGAGTTGAAGTCCACGAGTCATAAAAGAGCCAAGGTTGTCTACCCCTGCCCTAGGGGAACAGATATTTAGAACTTGATGCGTTGTTAGAACAATTAAAGAGAAATTTCCTGACAGTTAGAGCAATTAATCAGTGGAACAATTAATCAGTGGAAAGACTTGCCTCCAGAAGTTGTGGGTGCTCCAATATTGGAAATTTTAAAGAAGAGATTGGACAGCCATTTATCTGAAATGGTATAATGCTTGAGCAGGGGGCTGGACTAGAAGACCTCCAAAGTCCCTTCCAACTATGTTATTCTATTATCAACCTTTACCCACCTGAGACTTGCATCTAATGGTATAACAAGCCGGAAATCTGCCTCTGAATGCCTTGTGTCCTTCCACAGATGGCCTTCAATCCTATACGGCCCCTTTAGGTGAGGTGATGCCTTTGGTCCCGGACCCGGTCTACCTGAACGACTCCACTTACGACGGGTCCAGTGTCAGCAAGTGAGTGAGTAAGAGGCTCCTGAGTGGCTTTCAAGCATAGCAACTGGATGTTTGGATGTTTATTATTCAACATTTTCATTCTCCGTTGGCTTGCAAGATCACGTTGGGTCAACCCTTCTGGTGTCCTCCAGTCAGGCTTCCAGAGTTTGGGACCTTCAAGCAGCTAAGCATTCAGAGAGTTTTAATCTTAGATATTTAAAGACTCTTGGCTGGGAAAATCTGGATTAGCATTCACACCCAAAGAAGAAAACTCTGATGTATTTTTTAAAATGTATTTGTCAGCGATTTTATGCTGCTTCAGTCAAAGTTAATCTCAGGGACTCACAAAATGCTTAAACCAAAAATAGCTATACAAAAATACAAATAAATATCCATAGTTCAAGTCCATCACAATAGACTTACTGACTTCCATTGGGCAGCCCCTACATCAAAGGTACGGACCTACGTCATGAATATTTCAGCATCTAATTACCTACCTAAAGAACTGAGTTTTCAGCACATTCCCTACTACCAATAGAAGAGAATATTTGTAGCCCAGAGTTGAATTTTGGGGTCCTTGGTGCTCTTCGAGCTTGATTGTTTGTTTGTAGACATTTCATTATCCTACTAGTTAACACCAACAATGTTCAGAGGGAATCCCTTCAGTCTGTTCTAGCACTGATGATGTTACCTAGTTGGGTTATGAAACGTCTGCAAGAAAACAAGCAAGCTCAGAGAGCACCAAGGACCCCATGTTCCTAAATATTAATGCTGATCTTATTTCTGGGGGACTTGATTACCAGAAGAAGGATGCTCCTGTCCAAGAATGCTCACATCTGGATCCCACTTGTTATACAATGTAGAGTGTGGACATTCTTAGATTGGTTACTCTATGGCAGGGGTGGAGAATTTGGCTCTTTTATGACTTGTGGACTTCAACTCCCAGAATTTTCCTGAGCCAGCTGGCTCAGGAATTCTGGGAGTTGAAGTCCACAAGTCATAAAAGAGTCAAGGTTCTCCACCCCTGCCCTATGGGGTATTTGGGCATATGTTTAAACCAGGGGTCTTCAAATTTGGCCCTTTTATGACTTGTGGACTTCAACTCTCAGAATTCCTCAGCCAGGCACGCTGGCTGAGGAATTCTGGGAGTTGAAGTCCACAAGTCATAAAAGGACCAAGTTTGAAGACCCCTGGTTTAAATGCTGCTGCTGTACTTCGCTGTGTAGCGGAAGTTCCCATGTAGAATTTAAAGAAACCCACCCTTCACGGAAGGCCATAAAATTAATGGAACTAGTGCCGTACTTAACAGGTTTGAGGGATCCTAGACTTCCCTTTCCTCATCCTGTTTTCCCTCTTGTTCTTTGGGGTCCTTTCTAAAGCAGGTTACACTTTGGGGGTCTTGGCCAGTTGACGGATGGAGTGGTGGGACTGGATGACTTCACCCAAACCAAAGAGTTGCGTGTGTGGCCCGGATATGACTACGTAGGCTGGAGTAGGCGGTCTTTTCCTGATGGCTTCGTCAAGATGGAATTTGAATTTGACCAACTCAGATCCTTCACATATATGAAGGTAACAGCATTTTTCTGCAGAGGGCCCAATTGGGCACGAAGAACATGGTAGGATTAGTGGGCTGGGCCAATTAAAAGACACATTCCTAATACTGATAGTCCTCAATTTACAACTGTTTGCTTACCAATCATTTGGAGGGGTGTGTGTCTCATTCTTCTAGAACAGTGATGGCGAACTTTTTAGAGACCGGGTGCCCAAACTGCAGCCCAAAACCCACTTATGCATCGTCGGATGCCGGGTGGGTGTGGCCCATTGGCTGGGTGTGGCCCATTGGGTGGTTGTGGCTGTGGTGGTAACGGCAGACTGGGTGGGACTAAAAAGTTCAATCAATCAATTTCAACTTTGCAAGATCTTTTTTTCCCCGCGAGAAGTTGAAATTGACTGATTGATTGAACCTTTTTTTTTTGTACATGGTGGCGGAGGCCTAAAGCAGTGGTTCTCAACCTGTGGGTCGGGATCTCATTTGGGGTCGATCGACCATTTCATGGGGGTCGCCAAGCAAGGCTGTCCGCCATTTTTTTTGTCCATTTTTTTTGTCCGCCATTTTTTTCCCCTTTTCCGGCAGGTGCCTTACCTCCCTTGGGCTGGGCCAGATGGTGGTCGGCCTGCTCCGTCTCTGCCGCTTGCCAGCTACGCCTTGGCCGGCGCAGGGGGCAGAACCACGCATGCACGGCGCTCCCAGGCAGGGAAAGTCCTCGACTTACGACCGGTTGGGTAGTCCTTGACTTACGACCTGTTTAGTCCTCGACCTATGACCGGTTTAGTCCTCGACTTATGACCGGTTGGGGTCGCGGCATTAAAAAGGTTGAGAACCACTGGCCTAAAGCGAAAAGATTTTATAAAACCCAGCTGAAGGCCTAGGACTGGGGCGACGGCGCGCATGCCCACAGAGAGGGCTCTGAGTGCCACCTCTGGCACCCGTGACATAGGTTCGCCACCACTGTTCTAGAAGGTTAAAACGAGCCTGTTTCAGAGTTGTCTTTCTTTTCTATCATCCTGCCCCCCTCCCCCTCCCCATTTTTTCCTCCTCCACCTCAATCTCTCCAGGTTCACTGCAGCAACATGTACACACATGGCGTGAGAGTCTTCCATCAGGTGGACTGCCTCTTCAAGCACAGCCTTGCCACTGCTTGGGAGGCTGACCCTCTCTCCCAACAGTATTCGGTGAACGTCGGGGACCCCAGTGCCCGCTACTTCACTGTGCCCCTGGGTGGCCGAATCGGCTTGTTTGTCCAGTGCCATTTTTACTTTGACAGCGAGTGGATGCTCTTCAGCGAAGTTGCCTTTCTCTCAAGTGAGTCGGGTCTGGGCGATGGCTTGAGGCCGAGGCCCCAAAAATGGAAGGTAGAACGAGGCCTTCAAAGATCTGACGTAATTGTTGTTATGATGCAAATGGCGTTATATGATGTTTAGGTCAGGCGTCCCCGACCTGTGGGCCGGGGCCCATTCGTAGGCCGTGAGGAGATTGCAAATAGGCCACGGAAACGGCCGGCGAGCGCATGCGCATCCTCACACGCACACGCTTGAGCCAGTTCCGGCTCACGTGGAATCATCTCCCACTGGTCCACAAAGCCAGAAACGTTGGGGAACTCTGGCCTAGGTTCAACACTCCATGATTTTGTCTCGGAAGCATTTCAGGTGTCCTCTTGGGCAGAGATAAGATAACCTTGGCTCTTTTATGACTCATGGACTTCAACTCCCAGAATTCCTGAGCCAGCCATGCTGAGGGGAAAGGGAGAGGTTTCCAAGCTGAGTCATGCCGGCTCAGGAATTCTGGGAGTTGAAGTCCACGAGTCATAAAAGAGCCAAGGTTGCCTACCCCTGCTGTTGGGGAAAAAAAGACCCTTATCTGAAACTTTGGAAAGCTCTGGAGAGCATACAGGTAGTCCTTGGCTTATGACCATTTGTTTAGTGACTGCTTGAGATTACAACAGCACTGGAAAAAGCGACTTACCGCTGATCCTCACCCTTAATCATCATTGCAGTGTCAACATCCTCAAAATTTGGGCGCTCGGCAACCGAAGCATTTATGACAGCTGCAGGGTCTCTGGGTCATGTGACCACCATTTGCGGCTTTTCCAACCAGCTTCTGAGTAGCAAATGGGGAAAGCCAGATTTGCTTAACAACGTAATTCACTTTGTTCGCTTAATGACCACGGTGTTTTGCTTAATGACCAAAGCAAAAAGGTTTTATAATTGAGTGCACTCCCTTAACAACTGCCTTGCTTAACAGCAGAAGTTCTGGTCCCGATCGTGGATGTAAATCAAGGACTACCTGTACAATTTTAGACCCAAGGTTGGATCAGAAGAATGCAGTTTTGTGTCGCCTCTTAGCTTCAAGACTGTATTTTTGTGTATCCCGGAAACTTAAGTAATTGAAGTTTCATTGTCATTGCACTCAAAGTGCAAATGGCCTTCTAGAGCAGGGGTCCTCAAACTTGGCAACTTTATGACTCGTGGACTTCAACTCCCAGAATTCCTCAGCCAGCCATGCTGAGGGGAAAGGGAGAGTTTCCAAGCTGAGCCATGCTGGCTGAGGTATTCTGGGAGTTGAAGTCCACCAGTCTTAAAGTGGCCAAGTTTGAAGACCCCTCTTCTAGAGTCTGGACCAGGGGTAGGCAACCTTGGCTCTTTTATGATTTGTGGACTTCAACTCCCAGAATTCCTGAGCCAGCCATGCTGAGGGGAAAGGGAGAGTTTCCAAGCTGAGCCATGCTGGCTGAGGAATTCTGGGAGTTGAAGTCCACCAGTCTTAAAGTGGCCCAGTTTGAAGACCCCTCTTGTAGAGTCTAGACGATTCCACTTAGAGGAGTATCGTCTTTTTCAAGGACTGATAAGAGGGGGAAGAGAAGAAGTTCTGAGTAGGGAGAAGCTCTCTTTGTGGAGAGTTTTGCATTTGTTCCAGCCATTTGCAGCTGTTGTCCTGCCTGGAAGAAAAGGAGAAAAGACAATGCCAGAGAGCAGGGCATTCCTTCCGTGCCTGAAGGAAGGGAACGAAATCAACTCTCTGCAGCTGCGCCCAGCAGCCAGACTCTTTGGGATTTATTCCAAACTGCCTCCACTTTGCAGCTGGTCTCCTGGGAGGGCTGAGAGCATGGTTAGGAGATGACATGGCCTTTTCCCCCAATTTACCTCCTGAGAAATAACTATTACAAACGTCCCTTTTCCCATCTGTTCTCCCTTCTGTATGTTCTGGACATCTGTTACAGATCTGGGAAGCCCATCTGCTGCGTCTCCAGGCTAAAGAACAGCAGGATGGGCAGTCATTGGGATGGGAGATTGGCAGGATGGAGGGAGGCTGCTTAATCACCAAACTTTCCCCAGTAACCCAACCTTCCTCTTTGCAAGAACATAAGACTAGTCCTGCTGGTTGAACCCAGGACTTTGTTCCCACGAGTGGGCCCAGAGATGCCTCTGGGGTGCTTGCAAATAGAAGATGGAGGCACCTTTCTGTCTTTGATCTTTGTTTTCCCAAGCCAGGAGAAGGGCCTTTGGTTCTTCAAGATCGATCGTCAGTCAGTCAGTCAATTTCTATAGCTGCCCATCTCAATGAATGACTCTGGGTGACTTACAGTTCCAAAAGTATGAAAACGATAGAAAACATTGTATTGACACCCGTTGTTGGTTCTCCATGAAGACCTGCAGTTCACCTTGGAAAGCTGTCCGAGCTAGTGGCCATCCCTATACCTTGTGGCAGCAAATTCCATGTTTTGACAATGTGCTGTGTGAAGGGGTGCTTTCTTTGATCTGTTATAAATCCGCCCTATTTATTGCCTGCTGTTCCATAAAAAGAAGAAGCAGGAAGGGGTTTGCCGAGCAAAAACTGCAGGCAGGAGAGGAAGGGTTAAATGATCTTCCTGCATGTCCTCTGGATCTGCTGATCATCATTTCCCCACACTGAAATGACAGCTAAATTTCCCAGGTCCACTGTGGCATCAGTTATGTAACATTCCATAAATGGATAATGGTCCACCCTTTTTACCCAATGCCTTCCTGCTTTGCTGTATGATACGTCTTCTGGTTTTGCACCTTGGGTAATGGATAGCTTCTTTTCTCTTGTTCCCCTTCCCCTTCCTGTTTTCTACCCGTCCAGATGTTGTGGATGACCCCTCTCTTCCTGTTTCAAGTCACTACCCTCCAGTGGTGGCCCCACCTCACCCTTCAGGCCGCAACATTCCCATCTCTCCGGCTCTTGATTCCTCACTCAGTGACAAGGCCGATGTCACCTCGAACCTCACCCAGGCAGGTGAGTAGCTTGCAAATCGGAGAGAGCACGGCTCTAATATTCTTCCTCCACCACCAGCCCCAGAAAAACATAGTCATGTGTTCCTAAAGTACCCTCTCAGCTTCTTTTTCTATATTTCTTCCCTTGTCAGATCTTGAGGGCGAAGCGAAATCTGGCCAGCCAATCGCAAAGGACGACAGCAGCAACACCTCCATCTTGATTGGATGCCTGGTGGTCATCATCCTTCTTCTCCTGGTTGTCATCTTTCTCATTCTCTGGCGTCAATATTGGCAAAAGATTTTAGGAAAGGTGAGACCGGCTGATTTTGTAAAAAGTTGCGTCTGTTTGAAAGAATTACCTTTTTTTTTTTTTTCTTCAGCCGAGGTCTGCTGGCTTGAGTGGGGTTTTCATTTGTTACTGACAGAAAGGGACAACTTGCTGCAGTGAATTTGCACCTTTGGGATTTGGTAGAATAGGTGTGTTTCAGTGGTGGGGAATGGAAACTCTGCCATCTTGACCTTAACAATCTAAAGCAGGGGTCCCCAACCCCTGGTCCGTGGACCAGTACAGGGCCGCGGCATGCCAGCAACCGGTCTGCACAAACAAGCAAAACCCCATCCATGGGATGCAGGCAGCACGTGAAACCACGCCCCCTCCGGTCCGCAGAAAAACCTCTCTCCACGAAACCGGTTCCTGGTGCCCAAAAGATTGGGGATCTCTGATCTAAAGTATTTCTCAACAACCTCGCTCTGTAGGCTCAACGGCGCATCTCTGACGATGACCTCACCGTCCACCTCTCTGCACCGAACGATACTATTGTCATCAACAACACAATGGGCTCCAACAGGCACTCCAACCGATACGAACGCATCCTCTCCGGGGAGACAGAATACCAGGAACCCAACAGGGCACGGATGAAACTCCCGGATCTTCCTCACAGTGTGGAGAATTCGGGTGAGAGGACGTCGGTTTCGGAATCGCGTTATTGTATTAAATTATTTATTTTATTTGTTAAACCGTCGGGAAGAGCGAGCGAAAACGAAGGGGCTCAAGAGAGTGACACAGCCAAGGAGATAGGGAGGGAAGAGGGAAATCCCTCTAATATTTGTCAGGAAGGCCAGGGTTTATTATTTATTGAGGGGTGCACAGGTAGTCCTTGACTAACAACCTTTTGTTTTTAACTATGGCTATGTCAGGGGTAGGCAACCTTGGCTCTTTTATGACTCGTGGACTTCAACTCCCAGAATTTCTGAGCCAGCCATGCTGAGGGGAAAGGGAGAGGTTTCCAAGCTGAGCCATGCTGGCTCAGGAATTCTGGGAGTTGAAGTCCACGAGTCATAAAAGAGCCACGGTTGCCTAGCCCTGGGCTAAGTGAATCAAACGGTTGTTAAGTGAATCTGGCTTCCCCCATTGCTTTTGCTTGCGGGAAGCCATCTGGAAAGGTCACAAATCCAGATCAGCCATTTGTCTGAAATGGTATAGGGTTTCCTACCTGAGCAGGGGGTTGGACTAGATGACCTCCAAGATCCCTTCCAAGTTTATTATTATTATTATTATTATTATTATTATTATTATTATTATTATTATTATTAAGTGATTCTCCCCAGGACTCTGAAACCGCTGTAAAAGGGATCCGGTTGCCAAACACCCAAATCCTGATTGTGTAACTGCAGAGGTGGTGCGGCAATGGTAACTTGCGAATCACTTTTTTCAGTGCCATTGTAACTTCAAGGCAGCCTTAAAACGAATAGTTGTAAGTTGAGGACTATCTGCAGCATGTTCTGTTATCTTCCAGTTTTCCGCATCCGTACATTTACACTGAATTGGGCTTGAATATAAAACAAGCTACCTTCCCACGTTTCCTGGAAAAGACAGGCTATTCAGATCAAGCAGCTTTGCATTCATTTCTCTGCTCAGTTTATTTTCATAGAGCCACTGAGAGGGAAGAATTGATTGAGATCACATAATTCAGCCCTCTGCATGGCGCATAAACCTTTCGACTACAATTTTCTCGCCATATTCAATAGCCATCCATCTTCTGTTTAGATACTTCCACACTGTCCAAGGCTATATATGTATCAGTTGTAGAAGATCCAAGTGGATGTACCTAGCACAGCGGTTCTCAACCTATGGGTCGCGACCCCATTTGGGGTCGATCGACCATTTCACGGGGGTCGCCAAGCAAGGCTGTCCGCCATTTTTTTTGTCCGCCATTTTTTTCCCCTTTTCCGGCGGGTACCTTACCTCCCTTGGGCTGGGCCAGTTGGTGGTCGGCCTGCTCCGTCTCTGCCGCTTGCCAGCTACGCCTCGGCCAGCGCAGGGGGCGGAACCACGCATGCACGGCGCTCCCGGGCAGGGAAAGTCCTCGACTTACGACCGGTTGGGTAGTCCTCGACTTACGACCGGTTTAGTCCTCGACTTACGACCGGTTTAGTCCTCGACTTACAACCGGTTTAGTCCTCGACTTACGAGCGGTTGGGGGTCGCGGCATTAAAAAGGTTGAGAACCACTGACCTAGCAAATGACACACTGCCATTCTTACTGTGGGTTGAAATAGACAAAATACTTAAGAAGAGTCTCAAATGTTGATGATTTGTTATATCTCATCAGGACAGGTGGGAGCCCTTAGAAAAATGTCTAACCCAAGTGGAAGCTTTTCAACTGCTGGATCACTTGCTTTTTAATCACTGAACTGGGGAACCATTAAAAATGTTGTTTCTAATTAATGAGGGGCCGAAATGCCCTAAAAGGGCATAACCCCTAATTCTCTCACCGTTGATCTGTCATGCCTTCTCCTTTAAATAATTAAATGGATTATTCTGTGTGTCTCCTCCCATTGTGGAAAAGCAAGGCATTAGGGTTCTTTTCAGTCACTAAACAAATAATTGTAAGTCAAGAATTACCCGTGTATCCCTTTTCATTATTAAGGCTAACTGGTTTCTTTTGTATGTCCAATATAACAGCTTTTCCCCGAATTATTTTTGTAGCCTGTCATTTTTAAATCCACTTTCAGATCAGTCTCAGTCTTGTCAAGTAAAACCTATTCCTCTTTCACAGCGTCTTTTAAGCACAGTGTATTTTTAGGACATACATTCTTAAAATTAACTTCAGGATTTATTGTTCAAAAATATCCATCGTGTCCAATATTAAAATATTCTCCGTTCTTCGTTCTGTATTAGTAAATCAAATCTGAACGTTCTCTTTTAGTTGCAATTTTTAGTTCTCTCCGGTTCCCTCTAGTGTTCAAACTTCAAGCTTTCATCCTATCATGTTTTTTTTTAAAAAGAGAATTCAAAAGAAACCTAATCCATCAATATAATCAAATGCATTTTTCACGGCAGGCATTGTTATAATTAAATTCCAAAATCTTATTTCAAATCCAAATGGACCATTGATAACGTTTGTAACTTTCCAAAATCAAAATTCTAATCCCCTTTTTAGTGTTTCATTAAACGTTGAAGGAAACTCACCTGGTGCTGTAAAATGTGTAGACTCAAAGGTTACTAATAGCTGTCAAAGGTTACTAATAGCTGAAAAGCAGTTAAAAATTTCCAAAATTGATTGGGAAAAGAAGTATGCAGATCCAGTGTCCTTTTGAAGGTGCTGAATGTGATTTAAGCTGGATGGCTATTTCCTTGTCTCCCAGAACGCTAAAACTACGGAGACCGCTCTCTTGTGCTCTCCTTGTAAGGAGCAGTTGTAAAGAGCGCTTGTGGGTGATCTCAAGTCCTCTCCTTGTCTGGAGAGTATTTACAAAGTGCCGGTCTGTTTGCTGGCTCTGCACTCCATTGCGCTTGTCAGCTCCACTTTTAATGGAGCCACCTTCAGTTCACCATTTCTTCCCCCAAAGCCCCTATTGTTGCATTTAGTGTGTGTGTGTGTGTGTGTGTGTGTGTGTTTGTATCTCCTTGCTTGTATCAAAAATATCAAAAAGTAGGCTTTTGCTGTAAACTGCAAACTGGGAATTGTGACTCGAGAAAGGAAAGAAGGAAGCAGTCAATTAACTGGGATGCTTTGTTAGTGGTCTGCTTCATTTAAAAGGGTGGGCTGTATTTCTAGCAAAATCGAGTTATAGCCTGCTCCTAAATTATGCTGATTTATGTGGTCTGCTTTTACAACACTTTTTTTTTTAATGTCAAAGAAACTGGAGAACTAGCACTCAAGAAAACCTGGATTCTTAGTTTCTAAGTGCGAGGAGGAATCTTTGTATCTTTTTTTTCTTGAAAGAGCATTCAGTAACACAATGCCAATTTTCATGTCTGAAATAAAAAAAAATCTCAGGAAAGATTTTTTTAATTCTTTTTTTATTCTTCTAAGCGAGTAGGTTTGCTTAAATTGGAATAGGGAAGGCAGGTAAGGGAAGTAAAAGAGAAAATGAAGAATTACAGGTTGTCCTCGGCTTACAGCCGTTTGTTTAGTAACCGTTCCTTATGATGATATTGGAAAAAGTCCTTGCACTTAAGACTGGTTCTTGCACTTACGACTGTCCATTATCCTGAGCTGGGGGTAGTGGGGACCTGTAGCCTGGTACATCTGGACAAAGCTGGATAAGTCCAGCCTTGGTCGATTCCTTTGAAGAAGACAGAAAAAGGTGTGATGGGATGTGCAGCTAGAGAAGGCGTCGCCAGTCACACAACAGCTTCCCAAGGTCGGAGGTGACCCATTCCAGAAAGAGACCCAAAATAAGAGACTGCTAAGTCCTGAACTGGATATGGGAGGGAGGAAAAAAATCAGGGTAACCACACCATAGAACAGAGGTAGTCAACCTTGGCAACTTTTAAGACTTGTGGACTGGCTGAGGAATTCTGGGAGTTGAAGTCCACAGGTTTTCAAGTTGCTAAGATTGGACATCCCTGCCCTATTACCTCCCAGATATAGGTGAGAAAGTTACCGATAGTCCTCGAATTAGGATCGAGTTGGGAATCCATTGTCAAGCAAGGGGGTTGTTAAGGGAGCTGCGCTCGATTTTACAACATTTTTCTTGTCACGGTTAAACCAATCGCTGCAGTTGTTAAATGAATCGTGCCGTTGTTAGCGAACCTGACTTCCCCTATTGAGTTTTGCTTGTCAAAGCCAGCTGGGAAGTTGCAAGTGGCGATCACATGGCCCGGGACATTGCAGCTATCGTGAGTACGTGCTGGTTGCCCGTGGGTATGGTGTGACGGTCGTAAGTGTGAAGACTAGTTGCAAGTCCCTTTTTTCAGTGCAGTTGTAACTCACGAAACAAACGGTTGCAAATCAAGGACTACCTTTAGAGAGCTTTAGTTTGGCAAGATTCTGTTGGTTAGGCTTAGGCAAATAAAAAGCTGGACTCAGTTGGCTGTTAGTGGTCTTCTTTGGGCTTAGGCCTGCCGTCAATCTGGAGGCCGCCTGGAAATGTCAGGATTCTGGGTCGCTCCCTTCTGTCCAAAGATACTAATGATGGCTGGTTCCCATCATTAAACCGCATGCCGTTTGGTGTCTGCGTCTCTTGCTACCCTGTTTGGGATGTGAAGCTTAAAAGAGGGGCAGGAATCCCTAAAGTGCTGCCTGTTCTCTGCGTCACGCCTTACCTTTCGTATCCATCTCTCCATCCATCTGTCCGTTCCTCATCCGTCCGTTCGTCCTCTCCCCCACCACCACCACCACCATCACCCCACCTCCCCCACCCCCTCCCTCCCTCCCTCCCTCCCCCTTCTCCCGACAGCTCTGCTGCTCAGCAACCCGGCTTACCATCTCCTCCTGGCCACCTATGCCCAGCCAATGGGAAGGCCTGCTTTCCCGCCACCCAGCCAGGTTAAGCCAATCAACACCAATGGTAAGGAGGGCGCTGAGCTTGTGCGGTGCGGCTGGGAACCCGGGTGGCCTCACTTACCCTGCTCAGAACATCCTGCCTTCTGCAGTTCCTCTCCCTCCTGCCAGGGGGTGCTGTCTGTCCGTCTGTCTCCCTCTCTCTTTCTTCGCCATGTCTGTCTCCTCCCCCCTTCCCCGTTCATCTCCCTCTTGTCGGCCCTGTGCATGGCTAAGACCAACATTTCACCTTCCGCTTTGCAGGTCCTGCGATGCTGCGGCTTCTGGAGTGGGGGAGGGAGAGTGGGGATGGGGGTTGGATGTTACCTGGGCTCCTTGTGTCCAAAGTAGAGCTCCATCTGCCTCTGAGGGCTGCTGGGTGCCTAGAGTTGCAGCACACGTTTGGGGTTGGGCAAGTTCCTCCATGTCCCTTTCTCCACCAATCTCTGAAGTGATTCTTTTTTTCTTTCGTCTTTTCTTCTTCTTCGGCAGCCTGCGGGATCGACTACACGGAGCCAGAACTGGCTGCCAACCAGCCAAGTTTCCAGAACAGCGTGCCACATTACGCCGAAGCCGACATCATCAACCTGCAGGGAGTGACTGGGGGGAACACATACGCTGTCCCTGCTGTCGCGGTGGATGCCCTTGCTGGCAAGGACATGGCAGTGGGCGAATTTCCCCGGGAACGGCTGATCTTCAAGGAGAAGCTAGGCGAAGGGCAGTTTGGAGAGGTAAGTCCAGGACAACCTGTGGCAGAGGAAGTTGTAAGTGGAAAAGTGAAACATACATTTCCAGTGAGGTAAAGTAGTTTCCTGGGCTCCAAGATCACCACCGATGGGGACTGCAGTCAAGAAATTAAAAGACGCTTGCTCCTGGGGAGGAAAGCTATGGCAAATCTAGACAGCATACTAAAAAGCAGAGACATCACCCTGCCAACAAAAGTACGTATAGTCAAGGCCATGGTTTTCCCAGTTGCAATGTATGGCTGTGAAAGTTGGACCATAAGAAAGGCTGAGCGTCAAAGAATGGAGGCCTTTGAACTATGGTGCTGGAGAAGACTCCTGCGAGTCCCCTGGACTGCAAGGCGATCAAACCGGTCAGTCCTAGAGGAGATCAACCCTGACTGCTCTTTAGAAGGCCAGATCCTGAAGTTGAAACTCAAGGACTTTGGCCACCTAATGAGAAGGAAGGACTCACTGGAGAAGAGCCTGATGCTGGGAAAGATTGAGGGCAATAGAAGAAGGGGACGACAGAGAATGAGGTGGCTGGAGGGAGTCACTGAAGCAGTAGGCGTGAGCTTAAATGGACTCCAGAAGATGGTAGAGGACAGGAAGGCTTGGAGAAACGTTGTCCATGGGGTCGCGATGGGTCGGACAAGACTTCGCAACTAACAACAACAAAAAATAGTGGAGCAGAGGTCTCCAACCTTTTGGGTACCAGGGACTGGTTATAATGGAGAGACGTTTTTCCATGGTCCGGAGGGGGCGTGGTTTCGTGTGCTGCCTGCCTCTTACTCCTCGGGAATGCGCCCCCTCCCTCCTGGGAATCTGCTCTTTACAAGTGGTCCTTGACTTACAACAGTTCATTTAGTGACCATTCGAAGTTAAGCAGCACTGAAAAAAAGTTGACTTATGACCATTTTTCACACTTACGGCCTTTGCAGCATCCCCCACGGTCACGTGATTTACATTCGGATGCTTGAAAACTGGTTCATATTTACGACGGTTGCAGTGTCCTGGGGTCATGGGGTCCCGTTTTATGTCCTACTGACGAGCAAAGTCCAGGGGGAGGCCAGATTCACTTAACAGCCGTGTTACCAATTTAACAACTGCAGTGATTAAGCAACGTGGCCAGAAAAGTTGTAAAATGGGGCAAAACTCACTTAACAGATTTCTCACTTAGCAACACAAACTCATAAATAAGTTGAGGACTTGTCTGTATTACATTCCATCACCCTGCCACATATTAGAAAGAAACGTGTGGCAGATGGATTTTGGCCAACTGGAACATTTCCTCCAAAATTTGTGTTAGCTGACTGGGGAATTCTGGGAGTTGAAGTCCATACATCTTCAAGTCGCCATGGTGGAGAGCAAGGCCTTATTGCATTCACTGTGCAATTATTCACTGTGTCCTTTGTGATTCCATAATGATTCCCTGTTTCCTCTCTCTCTCCCCCCCGGAAAGGTCCACCTGTGTGAGGTGGAGAACCCTCAAGATCTGCCAAGCTTGGAATTCCCTTTCAACGTGCGCAAGGGGCGCCCTCTGCTGGTTGCTGTGAAGATTCTACGCTCGGATGCCACCAAGAATGCCAGGTGAGTGTGCCTGAGGATGGAAATAAAGGTAATAACAACAACAACAACAACAACAACAACAACAACAACAACAACAACAATAATAATAATAATAATAATAATAATAATAATAATAATTATTATTATTATTATTATTATTATTATTATTTAAAAAAAGTTGGAAGGGACCTTGGAGGTCATCAAGTCCAACCCCCTGCTCAGGAAGGTAATCCTATACCATTTCGGACAAATGGCTGTCCAGTTTCTTCTTAAAAACTTCCAGTGTTGGAGCCTTCACCGCTTCTGGAGGCAGGTTGTTCCACTGGTTAATTGTTCTAACTGTCAGGAAGTTTCTCCTTAAGTTCTAGGTTGCTTCTCTCCTTGATCAGTTTCCATCTGTTGCTTCTTGTCCTGCCTTCAGGTGCTTTGGAGAATACCTTGACTCCCTCTTCTTTGTGGCAGCCCCTGAGATACTGGAACTCTGCTATCATGTCCCCCCTCGTCCTTCTCTTCATTAAACTAGACATACCCAATTCCAGCAACCGTTCCTCATACGTTTTAGCCTCCAGTCCCCGAATCATCTTTGTTGCTCTTCTCTGTACTCTTTCTAGAGTCTCACCATCTTTTTTACATCGTGGTGACCAAAACTGGATGCAGTATTCCAAGTGTGGTCTTACTAAGGCATTGTAAAGTGGCAGTAATACTTCACGTGATCTTGATTCTATCCCTCTGTTAATGCAGCCTAGCACTGTGTTGGCTTTTTTGGCAGCTGCAGCACACTGCTGGCTCATATTTAAATGATTGTCCACTAGGACTCCGAGATCCCTCTCACAGTTACTACTATTGAGCAAGGTACCCCCTATACTATACCTGTACATTATAGGGGGTACCTTGCTCAAGGTATGCATTGTTAAAGAACAACCCGCTGTATACATTTTTCCAACCTGACTATTCTTCAGCATGCTGAAACACCCCCCCCCCCCAGACCTTTTTAATCTGCTTGTCCATTGCTAAGACTTCTGGGGTTGAACCCCACACATCAGAAAGCTGTTCAGGAATGATACATTATGCTATGTTTTTCTAACTTGATTCACTCCAGGTGAAAGTTGGCACAAATATCCACAATGGCATATTATCAACTATGCCTTGATGGACTTAATCTTTATTCACCTGTTGGAAATGTTACGTTAGCCCTAGCTTTGCTCATACCTCTCAGTGAAATTTGTTTGTGGCTGCTGACTCTTAAGAAAGCAGAGCTGCATTTGCATTAATTTGAGCTCCTCGCTTATTTATCTGCTCAAGATTTTCCATTCGGGTCTTGCCTGGTCGGTAATTTGAAAGAATTATGTTGAAAGTAACCGATGGATAGAGGTTTCAGATGTACACGGGTGTATGTGGAAACTGCTGGTCAGCACGAAAGAATAAGGAGCTTGATTTTGCAAGAGAATGACTATCTGTTGGTGGTCGTTAGAAGAAAGGTATAAAAATGTAGTTTAAGTCTAGCTCGGGGCCATTGGCCTATAGCTGTTCTTTTTGGAATCTGCTATACCAGTGATGGCGAACCTTTTAGAGACTGAGTGCCCAAACTGCAACCCCAAAACCACTTATTTATTGTCGGGTGCCAGGTGGGCGTGGCCCACTGGGTGGGTATGGCTGTGGTCATGGCACACTGGGTGGGTGTGGCCAAGGTGGGCGTGGTCACCTCGATGTTGCTTGTGGGGAGGGACGCCTGTGGGGGCCGGGCAGGGTTGGGGGAGATCCAGGGGTTCTCTGGCAGGTGGGGCGATGCGCAGGAGGCTCGTCCTGTGGGGTGAGGCGAGGCAGGGGCCGGGGTGGCTGCTGCCTGACACCATCGGCCCCCACACACAGAGGCCGGTGAGCGCGTGGGGGCCAACAGTGTCTGTCAGCAGCCACAGCCTGCCAGCCCCTCGACAGATGCATTCTGGGGCTCCACAGCCCGCCACCAGAAGTTCAGAGAAGCCACCTCTGAGCTGGACGGCCGACCGACAATTGAGGAAGCGATGCAGTGGGTCATGCCTGGGAAAAGGAGAGCATGTGAGGCCAGGAGGGATGGGACGGCGTGGAAGGAAACCAGCCGTGCTGGGATGCATCCGGCATGTGGAACCTCGCCGAGTTAGTGAGTGGCTGGTGAAGAGGGACGGTTGCCATCTCCGGGGCATGGTGCTCGTGCCGACAGAGAGGGCTCTGAGTGCCACCTCTGGGACGCGTGCCATAGGTTCGCCACCACTGTGCTATACTATATGGTCCTCATTGCAATGGCTGTTAATGTAAGTGATGTTATGTTATTATGCTATGTTCCAAATTATTAGCAAAATAAACCTCTGAATCTGAAAGTAAGAATTATGGTTTTGTGTTGCTGTCTCTTGTCTTTTTCTTTGGGTTTTTCCACGACGCCATAAATGTCCTTAAGGCAGCATTCTCCCCGATAATTCCCTAGGAGTAACTTTTACACCAGTGCAGAATTTAGCTTTTATGGCTGTTTAAGCATGCCTGCTTAAACACAGGTAGTCCTTGACTTTTGACCATTTATTTAGTGACCGTTCAAAGTTAACGACAGCACTGAAAAAGCGACTTACGCCGGGTCCTCGCACTTATGACTGTCCCAGCGTCCCCACAGTCACATGACTGTGATTTGGGTGCTTGGTATTTACTGGCATGTAATTTACAACAGTTGCAGCGTCCCAGGCTGACACAATCACCATTAGCGACTTTCCCAGCCGGATTCCGACAAGCAAAGTCAGTGGGGGAAGCTGGACTTGTTTAATGGCTGCGTGCGATTCGCTAACAATTGCAGCAAAAGTGTGATCAAATCGGGCTCATCTCACTTAGGTAACCACATTGCTTAGGGAGGGAAGTTTCCAATTGTGGCGGTAAGTTCAAGACTAGCTGTAACGTTAGGAAGAGATTGTCAGAAAGATGGGAAACGAATGGGAGAAAACTCAAACATAAACAATAAAAAGATAGCATTGCGGGAACCTGACAACAGCTTATTTCACAAAAGGGAGCTTAGCCCAGGTGTGGAGAAAGTGGGAGGAAGCATTTGGACTGGAGGCTAAAACATTTAAGGAACGGTTGCTGGAATTGGGTATGTCTAGTTTAACGAAGAGAAGGACAAGGGGGGACATGATAGCAGTCTTCCAATATCTCAGGGGCTGCCACAAAGAAGAGGGAGTCAAGCTATTTTCCAAAATGCCTGGAGGCAGGACAAGAAGCAATGGATGGAAACTAATCAAAGGAGAGAAGCAACCTAGAACTAAGGAGAAACTTCCTGACAGTTAGAACAATTAACCAGTGGAACAACCTGCCTCCAGAAGCGGTGAATGCTCCAACACTGGAGGTTTTTAAGAAGAGACTGGACAGCCATTTGTCCAAAATGGTATAGGGTTTCCTGCCTGAGCAGGGGACTGGACTAGATGACCTCCAAGTTCCCTTCCAACTTTACTACTACTACTACTACTACTACTACTACTACTACTATTACTACTACTACTATTATTATTATTATTATTATTATTATTATTAAACATTCAAACAGCCTTAATTGCTTCACTATAAGTGGAAGGAAAGAGAAGTGGACAATGTTACAGTGGTAACGGAGGCATCATAACCACACCTGGATAACCAGGTTAGGGGCAGATCATCAGGGGGAAATCTTATCTTTTATGGCTGCTAAGAGTTGACACCAATTTGATGGCACATAGTCAATATGTTTTCATTCATAGGAAGACTGTATTCTACGTTACAGCCACAGTGCTTTGATGGGGATTTTTATAGTTGGGAAAAAATGGGAACGAATAAACAATTAGAGTCCAGATGTCCTCTCTTGAGAGCTGTCAACTTACCTTCCTCATCCTCCTGTCCGTGTCTTTTCTTGTGTCCATGCAGGAATGATTTCCTGAAGGAGGTGAAGATCATGTCTCGCCTGAAGGACCCTAACATTGTGAGATTGCTGGGTGTGTGTGTGCGGGACGATCCGTTGTGTATGATCACAGAGTACATGGAAAATGGGGACCTCAACCAGTTCCTGAGTGGCCATGAGCTGGAAGACAAGCTGGGTGGCAGCCCCAGTGGGAGACCAACCATCAGGTATTTGGGAGGAAATACTGACAATCCTGGATACTAACATTTATAACATTCATTTCAGTTTCCTTCTTTACTGCATCCCCTGTTGTTCCCACACAAATCACCTTTAAATCTCTTCCAACATTTTCTCATTTCACTTTCATTCTCAATTACTTCACCATTTTACGTTTCATCCCATTTCCTATGCTGTATCAGGCCTTTTCATCTACTTCCCCAAAACTTTTTTTTCCTTCAAATTAATTACTTTCAAAGGCTACAGAGAGGTTTGTGGGGACAGCAGTTTCCGGTGATGTTAATCCTTTTTCCTCAAAACGGTCACCAAGATGCCACAGAAAAGAATCACATAATTATTGTTGAAGTGTTGGTCACAATTCCCAGTTTGTTAGATGTCACTATACTGTAAAAAAAAAAAAGACTATAGAAAGGTAATACATATGGCTAGCTGACTCTTAAACCGCTGCATAGTGCTGTTGACTTCATCTCTAAATAGCACAGAAAATGGCTGTCGGAGTCCATTTTTTCCAAAGGAGCATTTGAAACCGAACAAGATGGATTTTAGCTTGGAAATCCTGAAAAAAATTCCAGAGAGGGAAGCGCTCGGTTAAACGGGAAGAAGGTTGAGAACGTGAGATGATCAATGTTTCACTGAATTTAGTGGGCCGTTAAGATCTTGAGATGGCTTCACTTTGATTATCTTGTATTTTGGCTTGCGTGGTTTAAGTACCAAGCGCTGCCCCACTGCCTGATGGGAATATCTTCTGTGCTTTGCTCCTGTAGGGAGGCAGAGAGTGAGATGCACATTTTCCAAATAAACATTCCTACCATCTTTTTTTTCTTTTTTCCTACTTCTCAGCTATCCCACTCTGGTCCATCTAGGGGCTCAGATAGCCTCAGGGATGGCGTTCCTTGCCTCCCTCAATTTTGTGCACCGGGACTTGGCAACCCGAAACTGCCTGGTGGGCGAAGGCTTCACCATCAAGATCGCCGACTTCGGCATGAGCCGGAATCTCTATGCTGGAGATTACTATCGCATCCAAGGCCGAGCCGTGCTCCCGATCCGCTGGATGGCTTGGGAATGCATTCTCATGGTGAGTGTGTGAAGCGATGAGCTTCAACTACAGGCAGTCCTCGCTTAAGGACTGTCTCGATGAGCGATGGTTTGAAGTCGTGCTGATGAAAAAGGTATCTTTAGAACGGATCCTTGCGGTATCCCCGAGGTCACGTGATTGGGATTCCGGGACCTTTGCAAGAGGCGGGTGTTTATGATGGTTACGGTGTCCCATGATCACCTGATTGGCATTTGCAGACTTCCCAGCCAGCTTTGGACAAGCAAAATCAACGATATCACAAGATACAGTCCTGTGAACTTTTGCTTAGTGACCGCAAGTGATTTGCTTAGTGACTACAGCAGAAGTGAAGTTGCAAAAACAGAAAGGTCAGAATCCTCCTTAAGCCCTGGGAAAGGTGAAACTATTAGGAAGAGATCAAGGCTGGTTCCTCCCTGGGATATAAGGAAAGTGGTCTATCTAATTATTTAGATCCCACCTTTATTATTTTTACAAATAACTCAAGGTAGCAAACATATCTTAACGCACCTTCCTCCTCCTATTTTCCTGGGAGATGGGTTGGGCTGAGAGAAGGGGACTGGCCCAAAGTTACCCAGTTGGCTTTCATGGCTAAGTCAGGATTTGAACTCAGGATCATTTGCTTTCTAGCCTGGTTCCCTAAGCCACGAGATCAAACCGGCTCTCCATTTGGAAAAACAAATAAAGGATAGACCTGAAAAAAAACACTGGAGAGCCATTTATCCGAAATGGTATAGGGTTACCTGCCTGAGCAGGGGGTTGGACTTGATGACCTCCAAGGTCCCTTCCAACTTTACTACTACTACTACTACTACTACTACTACTACTACTACTACTACTACTATTATTATTATTATTATTAAGGGGCAAACCTGAAAGAGATTCATTAGGATTAAAAAAAAGCTTATGTTTATAACTTTGCTTTACAAAGGAACCTTCAAGAGCACAGAAGCAAGAAAAAGAAATAGATAAATCTAAAGGACAGCTTTCTGAAAGCAAGCACTCTCCTTTATAATGAAGGACATGTGGTCACTGTGTAGGTATAAGAGAAAGAGGAAGAAAAACATAATCAGACTTGCAGTATTCTCTTATTATATTATTGTTAATAAAGTTATAGTCTTCTTGTAGAGTTAGGAACTGGTTAGACCAAGGCTCTTCAAACTTGGCCCTTTTATGACTCGTGGACTTCAACTCCCAGAATTCCTCAGCCAGCCTTGCTGGCTGAGGAATTCTGGGAGTTGAAGTCCACGAGTCATAAAAGGGCCAAGTTTGAAGAGCCCTGGGTTAGACCTTCCAGAAAAAAATGGAAGCAGTACTTCTAATCCCTTTGAGGGGTTGAGTGGCAGGACCTGTTGCCATGCTTTTTACTTGGGATTTTGTGTTTTCGATTTGGTTTTCTGGCTTGCCCTGACCAGAGCCCTCAAGGTTGAAGCATGTTGTAAAGCTGATTTAATGAATCCATGAATGTTGTCTTTCTGCTCCCCCCCCCCAAACCAGGGTAAATTCACCATGGCCAGCGACGTTTGGGCCTTTGGCGTTACGCTCTGGGAGATCCTCATGCTGTGCCAAGAACAGCCATACAGCCAGCTCACGGATGAAGCCGTAATCGAGAACGCCGGCGAGTTTTTTCGGCATCAGGGCAAACAGGTAACAACATGCCTGTTCAACAAAATGCCTATTATACAAAGTTTACCTATCGTGGTTGTATATAGACTCGACAGAGTGCTTAATTTGTGGTTCAGGGTGGTAATCAAAGAGAGAAGCAACCTAGACTAAGGAGAAATTTCCTGACAGAACAATTAATCAGTGGAACAACCTGCCTCCAGAGGCTGTGAATGCTCCAACACTGGAAGTTTTTAAGAAGAGACTGGACAGCCATTTGTCCGAAATGGTATAGGGTTGGACTAGATAACCACCAAAGTCCCTTCCAACTTTATTATTATTATTATTATTATTATTATTATTATTATTATTATTATTATTATTATTATTATTATTATTATTATTATTATTATCATCATCATCATCATCATCATCATCATCATCATCATCATCATCATCATCATCATCATCATTATTACTATACATTAGAGTAGGACTCACCCTAACCCTAAACCCCCAATAATCTGAGTCCTCGCTTACCGACCTCGGAAGGATGGAAGGCTGAATTAATCTTTTTCTTTTTGTATAAATTTTATTAGTTTTTATAGGGTTAGGAATGAGGTGGGATTGGGATTGGGATTGGGATTTGGGATAGGGTTGGGGTTGGAGTTAGGGTTTTTCCAAATAACATTGTCAATATTTAGCAAACAGCATAATATCTGGGTTCATGTGTTTAACAAGAAATAATAGATAGTTAATTATCATAAACAATATGTTAATTAATCGCTCGATAGTCGTCTTCTTACTAATATATATTCAAAGTTATATATCACATTCCTTTCTCTCTAACTCATGTTTCTAGCCGTTGATAGAAATTATCCCATGTTCTAAAATAATCTTGAGCCCCATCAGGATCAAACTTCAGACTGTGGGCAGAGTTAGCTTGCAATACCGCCTTCTAACCACTGCGCCACCAAGACCTTGAGTCTTTTAAGAGGAGTAAGCTCTGTTTTTAAGAAAATCCAGGCTCTGTCTTGGGCCTGCTCACCTCAGGGCGATGTCACAGTCCCTTTTCCTCCATCTTCAGGTCTATCTCTGCCGTCCGCCTGCCTGCCCCTTGGCTGTCTACGAGATGATGCTGAGATGCTGGGCACGAGAGGCCAAGGATCGTCCATTGTTCCAACACCTGCACTGCTTCCTGGCTGAAGATGCCCTCAATATGGTGTGAACCAGACCAGCACTGGCCAATCGGAGGCTGTGTTAAGAAGTTGGACAGCACCATAGAGACTGCTGGAGACCGGATGTGGCTCAGAGGCCCTCATGCTTGGTAGCATTTCTGTGGGACATTTGGTTGTTCACTCTGGCCCAGCCTTTGCTCATCCAAATCTCACCATTCACCCTCCAATATGTAGTTCTCTTTCTACCCTCGTTTTCTTTTTTGCCTGGTCATCTCTAATTAACTTATTCCATCACATGTTTCAAAATTGTTATTCTGAGATTCTTACCCACTGTGTTAACTCATGTTTCTCCTTGTCCTAAACCGGTCTGTTTCAGCTTTAAACCAACTTGGTGCCTTCCTGGTGTGTCTAGAAACTACATTTCTCAAAGTTTTTTTTTTTAGTATTTATCAACCCCAGAGTAAGGAACCAAGGGCCCTCCATATGTCTGGGCTGTTCCAAATCCCATCAAGAACATTTGCAGCAAAGGACAGTTGTAAGTCCAAAACATCTGGAGAACGTGAGATTGCCTGCAGCCAGAGATCATCATGTTGACCAGAAAGTCTTAGTTCCAGTCTTAACACATCTGGGAGACACTCAGGCAAGGAAGCTGCTCGGTCAAACGTAGCCCAATTCATCCGGCCATAATTTGAACAAATATTTCATTACTTGGTTCTTCCAAATGTTTCTTTTCTTGCATCATTCTAGGTCTTTTCTTCCGTCCTTTGATCTCCAGGTTTTCAGGGTGAGCTAAGAAAACAGGGTTAGTGGCTAAGATATTTCCTGAACCCCTCTTCCTCTGTTTTCCTTCCATCAGCACCAAACCAGGAACAGTGTAATGTTCTGATTGGGCTAATAATGTCCTTCACTTCCATTCAACGCTAGAAGCTCTGTGAGCTGCTGGTCTTCTCCAGAGGACTGTAAATGGAAAAGACCTCCTTCCCAATTTTACGTCAGACCCATCCCTAAGTGGCCCTAGGTTCCAGCCCCTCCTTGAGAACATGAGGAGAGGATATTAATGCTAGTTTGCTTAGCAGGAGTATCAACCGTCCGGCTAGCAAATTCAACATTGAGGAAACTTTACGGCTTTGAGGTGCCATAAAAGATAAACTTTCTTGAATACAGATTTCGGTACCGAAGAAGCAAAATCAAATCTTAAGTTTTCCCATGGGAAAATCTGGTTAGTTAACAATAGCTTTTCATAGCCCCACCCCAAGCGTTCACATTGCCCAATCACATCTCTTTGGTTTTTTTTATGGGAATAGTCCACTTTACCGTCAGATAATGCTTTTGTGACCTTGGGTCTCATGGTCCGTGGACGGCTTCTCGAAATTACTGTTTCTTTCCCAGGCTTCCCCCCCCCCCCCCCCGTTTCTATGGCAAGTTGAGTAGCGATAGAGGTCAGCAAGCATCTTAGCAATTCAAGGTTGACAAGGAGTCTGTAAGGATGGCTGCAGTAAAACACGTAAACATTTTGAACAATCAAGCACAGTACAATATGCGCGTGTTGCCACGTTGAATATCAATGCTCCTTTTTTTCATACCCTGCAATTCTTTCCTTTGACACTCCAGAGTAATTGTGGGGTAGCACTCTCCCCCTTCTCCTCCACGCACTCCTTTAGCTTACCAAATTAGATTTGGGGGATTTGAATGCTCTTTAATGGGATCTTAACAGAGACATCACACTGGATTTATAAGCAAAGTTGGGGAGATTGCTCCATCCACTGTTGAAAGCTTTCCTTCCTTCCTTCCTTCCTTCCTTCCTTCCTTCCTTCCCCCTTCTTTCCAGAATATGATTTCAAACTGAGATGAACACATATCTTTTGTGGTTAAGAATTGGATTCATGGACAGCAATCTGCATAACATGATCTCCAAAGCTGTCTACGGACCTTACATAAAAATGGTTGGTCTGGGGGGGGGGGCTTGTCTGGGAACGTGGAAGTTGTATTCTATCACAACTGGGTAGGCATAAAGTTAAGAGAAAGCTACCTTGTACTGTAATTCACTAGCATTGGTGGAATGTGTTGCATACTGGATAGTCCTCTCCCCTTGTATGATGGAGGGTTAGGCTGTTAACCTTGGAGAACTCTGTACTGTTACACTGTTTGTGTGTGATGTCTTTCTCTAGAAAATCTCTCTCTCTTTTTCTCTTTTTCTCTCTCCCTCTTTTTTCTGTACTTTTCGGTGAAAGTCTGCACGTGTCAAAGGGAATACTTTTTGCCTTTGACAGACTCCATCTGAGGGGGTTGCATTTTCAGCTTTAGATTCATGGACTTAACACTGGCAAAATAACGGGGACCGCTTGGTCCAAGCACACTGGGATTAATTAAGCACTGGATGTTTGGAGAAGCTGGAAGAAAGGCGTGGCTTCACGGATACTTCACGAATCCATGGTTGGCCGGGAGATATCTGGTCCTAGCTGTTCTCAAGAGCGGACAAGAAAAAGAGGAAGGAACTGAGACTGGCCAGATTTGATGTGGCATCGACTGGACTTTGGGCTGGATGTGTTCATGGGCTGAACTGAAAAAAAGAATTGATGCTGGTTCCTCGGAAGGACCAGTTGCCATTCCACATCCTCCAGATCATCCCAACTGGGGACACGGCCCTGCTCTTTGTACACTTGTTTGTTTTCCTTTTCCTGGAGACTTGAGGTGACCTGATTGTAGATACTGTACTGTATAAAAGGGTGGTGGGAAAGATGCACTTTTCCAAACTAAAAGAGAAGAGTCAGGAAATCAGTGTGTGGGTTTCTGTTTTCTCCTGTGATTCCATGATAAAGATGCCACTCCCAAAAATGTCCCGGACGTTAGCCATGGCATCCATCTGCGTTGGATCGCACAGGCAACTCCTGACAGGCAACCCATGCAATAAACTGCTGAGCCCCAATATCTTGGTGGAAAGGAGACAGAAGGACAGTAGATTTTTTTTTTAGCCTCCAACACAATATCGTTTAATGTCTTAAGCAATAAATATATTTTGTTAGGTAATTAATTCATCAAGCCGCTTTCAAAATTGTAAAAAGTTGCAGAAACGGGAACACCCAATGTCTTCAACATGTCCTAAAACAGGGGTAGGCAACCTTGGCTCTTTTATGACTCGTGGACTTTAACTCCCAGAATTCCTGAGCTGGGCATGGCTTAGCTTGGAATCCTCTGGCTGGCTTGGAAACCTCATGTCTGGCTCAGGAATTCTGGGAGTTGAAGTGCACGAGTCATAAAAGAGCCAAGGTTGCTTACCCCTGTCCTATGCTTTTGGAGGCATCTGTTATCAGAAAACCCACCCAAGATAAAACATAAGTGACAACAATCTGTCGAACCGGCTTCCTTCAGAAGTTACTGTCATGTGTCTGATTAACGAAACACTTAAAAGGACTTTCAGGCATATTTTCTCCTAAAAGCATTTATTAAGGTTACAGAGACGTCAGTACAGCATGGTGGAAATGCTTAGGTCTGGCTTCTCTTCCGTTACGCATATACATTCTAAGCATTCCCCCCCCCCTTATTTTGGGGTCATGGTTCACATCTTCCAATCAACTTGGAAGATGTGATTTACTTCCGGTTTCTTTTTCCCNGGCTATCCTTATTCTCCTCCCTTTTTCCCTGTTGCCTGGTTTAACTATAAAAATACCAGACAGTTCTGCATATTGTCAAAGCAAGAATATACAGTATTTGCAGCGTTGACAGTTACCTTTGTGCTGCTCAGTCTTACTCATTTTTGTTTAGACCTTTCCTTAAGATTTGTAGGGCTCGTTCACAACTCGGATTGTGTAGAACATCCTATCCTTTAAACTGATTGCATCCAGATTTATGCAATTGGAAGAAATTCTGACACTGAAAAACAATGGCAAAGTTCATGCACAGTAGTAATCATGGTTTGTTGGGAGTGTCTGGATGCGGATGTTGCAAGCTATAAACCATGACTTATAAGCCACAGTGGCTTGGTATGTAAAACATGCATATTAAAACCAAACAGAGCTATTATCTGATATTATCAGAAAGTGCAAAAGATTGTGTGGTGTTATGCTTTAGCACAGGGGTCCCCAACCTGTGGGCCGTAGCCCATTTTTTGGGCTGTGGCCTATTGGCCATTGGGCTGCTTGAGTGGCTAGTTGGTGCAGCGTGTGTGCACAGCCCCACTTGCACGAGCGTAGCTGCGAGTGTCACAGGATTCGCAACCCCATTCATGCAAGTGTTGCCGTGAGTGTTGTGGGCACTCGTGATCCCACTCACATGAGCAACAGGTGAGCACATTTACCCCTCCCACAAAACCATCCCTTTTCCCCCCCTCCCCATTGCTCTGGGCCGCCATCGCCAAAAGGTTGGGGAACTCTGATTTAGCAGACATCTTGAATAGACCACCATACTTGGGCTGTAAAAATCGAGAGAACTGCTAGATGCAGCAAGCAGTAGGTTTTATGTATCTCTTTGCTTCCTTCTAGTGTTCATCTGGACTTTTGCAGCCTAGAGATAATAGCCCTACTTGTGAAACCTGTGCGAAAGTTGGTGCATTGTGATGCACGTCTGAATTTTAGTTGATGCGTCTTTTTCAAATATCACGTACTAAGTCAGAAAAAGCTCTTTTATACGTAAAGTGATTCTCTGGAATCCGTGTGCAAAGGGATACACGCTACGGTTATATTTCTATTCTCTCAGGAGGAAGTATCACAAAACTGAATGTTTTTTTTCAAGAAATTGTACATAGGATAGTAGCTTTAGTCATGACTAACTGTTACTTGGTGGGGGTAAGCTAATATTTCGAATATTTTCGATTGTTTGAAATTTACCCATCTTAATTAGATGTATATTTCTATTTGAACACGTTTTGGTGGTATATAGTGTACCCATAACTGCATCATTTTGTTTCATCATCTCTCCATTTATCCTGTCAAATGCCTTTTTTGTGTGTGTTTTCCTGGGAATACTTGTAGCTGTTTGTTCCTTTATGTGTATCAGGATGTGTATATATTTGAAGAGCAGAAAAAAATAGATTTTTTTACATTAATATATAGAAGTTTGGGGGTTTGTTTGTTTTTAGTCCTTTCCATTTATGTGGTGAAATAAAACGCTTTGCATTTTGTATACTACAAGAATTGGTGTGTGAAAGTCAGCCTTTCAACTCACAGAAAAGAGAAGGAGATTGGACAGGAGGATGTCCAAAAAAAATCATCTATGAAAAGAACCGACATCAGTTTGAACGTAGCTGTATAATGACGTAAATTTAAGGACTGGGAAATTTGAG